AGATAATGCCCGACCACATGTTGCAAGAGTCACAATAGACTTCTTTCAACATAATGATGTCATACTGTTACCATGGCCACCAAGATATCCCGACTTATCCCCAATTGAGCACGTGTGGGATGTGATGGGTAGGAGATTGCTCAATTTGCAACGTCCTCCTCAGACTCTAGAAGCACTTCGAGAGGAGTTGGTGGTTGCCTGGAATGAGATAGCACAGGAGGACATTGTCCACCCGATCAGAAGCATACCTAGGCGCGTTGGAGAATACGTAGCACATCAGGGTGCATCCACACATTATTAAAGGTCAAAGGGCTTTAAAGCAGTGCAATCATTTTGAAATTTTTATCATTTACTTATTATGCTTCATTAAGTACTTATACAAAATTTTATTAAAATAAAACCATTTAAACTGGGTGTTCGGATTTATATGTCACTTAGTATATTTGCTAGATCGTTCCACATATCTTTGTGGGAGTCTACGGAAAAATCGAAGGGGAATTCCAAAAAAAGTTGTTAAGACCAATTTAAAAAAGGGGATAAGCGTGATGTTTGCATGTTGTCAACTTGCCATGGGAATGATATTGCAGATACTGGGAGAAAAAGTGAAAACGGGACTGCTGTAACCAAACCAATAGGCATTTTAGATTACAACTCAGGAAAGCAAGAAATTGATGTATCGGATCAACTAAGTAGCTACTATTCACCAGTTCGTAAGTTCGTGATTTGTTGCAAAAGGGTGACAATTGAGTTAATATTTGGCACCGGTGTAATTAATAGTTGACTATTATACAACGAAATATCTAAGGAAAAAGGCTCTATTGCTTTTTACAGAAGAAATAATTGAGGAACTTCTTGAAATAACAACCCACATTGAACCATCCACGTCTGTGGTAATGTCAAAAATACCAAGAAAGGACGACGGTAAAATTTTACCTAGGAAATAGATGCCATGAATGCTTCAGAACCAACCAACGCGAAAATGGAACCCAGTAGATACTTATTGTACCATATGTAGCAAGCCATTTCGCCTATCTTGTTTTTTTTGGTGGGACGCACAGAAATAAAAACGAGAACACTAACCATTTTTATGTTGTATTTTCAGAACTATGTTCCTTTGTTTTCGAAAACATTTATCAAAGTCGTTTTTAATAAATAAAAGACTTTCTTGGAATCATTTTCACAAACAAAAAATACGTCTTCAAATCATATATGATACATCCTGGAAAAAAATAAAGTTCAATATCTTAATACGTCCATGCTGTAATCAGCTGCTTGAATATCATGTCCAATTTTTAACATATCGTGAGGCAAAGCAAGTACAATACATCACATATGATTCAAGGGCATGTAGACAAACATGTCTAATGAATCACATATGATTCATGGACAGTTAACGTGCTAAGATCTGCTCCTCATCTCACTGCTGTATCTTCAAAGATAAATTGTAAGTCTTGTGAGGACGAAAAGCGATTTTTGACTTTTTATGCCGCGTTCAGACAACGTATGCCAACTCCTATGCGTGAACGCTAAACCAATGCACATTGGCCGAGGTGCCGCGTGGTAAACGTGCCTATGTGAAATATCAGCGCTTGGGTGCCTACCTAGGGTGCAAACATGGCCAGTGAAGCTGTTATACCCCCATAATTACCGATCAGGGCCGATCTGGGAATCTGTTTAGGCGCAGAGGTGGTCGCAGCATTCATGCTCAGAAAGATGTTTTTCTTAGGGGGGTAGCAATTGAAGAGCAATATATACCATTATCTTAAAAACAAATGGCAGAGTTGGGTGTGTGGAAGGGCAAGGGGCGTCAGTCGCGGCCCCTCTAGGTACGCCCAAGGCCAGAAGAGTTATAATTCAGAACTTGCCTGGAAAACAGAAACCTGATACGAACTAAAAGTTGTTGATTGAGGGCGGTGCCAGAACTTAACTGTCGCACAAGACAGATTTGTAAAGCCTATGTACTGCGCAAATAACATTATTCTTAGAATAAACTGGACTGGATGGTAGTCTGTATTGCAGACGGTACAAAATTTAGTTACTATGATATTGCCTTGCAGCTTGTAATGGTAAAAGATATCAACCCAATCACTTACATCCTCTTATAATTTGTTAAAATTAAAAACAATATTAGGAGTACTCTATCAAAAACACCATTTTCCTTTATGACATCTGAGAAATGACATCCTGGAAGATTAGCATGTCAATGAGGGACACCCTGTATATCACAGCAATATCTGAATCTGATATTGTCACTGAGGCCTAATCGTTTCTTTTTTGCTTTTGATTATGGTTTGTGTAATGAATAAAGTTGAATGAAGTGCTATACGGCAGTATCTATCAAACGCACCCTGCATCATATCCTACAAGTTGGCCAAGTGCCGACACATGTGTGAATGCGCTGTTTTTTCTTTCCATACCATACCAAATTGGTGGCAACGTTGGTTCCACTGAGTTGGCCTCATGTATGAAGGTGACATAACCAATCATCTTAGTCGGGTAAAGATATCTGACGGCCACGTTCCATTACCCCTGCCGAGTCTTTTACTAGTGATCTCAGGTCTAGGGATGTGCCGCTGGTAATAAGGGCAATTTGCGCTAATAATTATAGCTAGGGATATGGGGACGTTCAAGAGTCATCTCACTTTATTGAGTGGGTACGTCACTTCCGTTTGTTTCTGTTCCATTGGTGGTAACTGCCACAAAGAGATTTTCATTTCAATCGTTGATATCTGAGACTACAAGCAATCGTAGTAGTAGTTTTTTTTTTATATCGAAACAGCCGCGTAGGCAGAAGCCTAAATGCCGGAACACCGCGGCTGCTATGATGATCCCAAAGAAATTTTGTTAATACGATTTTTGAACTGCCTAAGGTTAGTAGAACTGGGAAAAGCTTCCTCCCGTAGTTTGTTCCACAATCTAGACACCCTCGGGACAAAGGAGCGGTCGTATCGGACACGGTTAGGATGGGACGCCGAAGTCAGGCGGGTCTGTCTGGCAGGCACATCGCGCGGCGGCATCATGGAAGAGAGCTCTGAGGAGCAAAGCCCGTTGGTGTAGCGATAGAAAAGAGCGAGATCACCGACGGCCCGCCGAGACTGTCTGTTAGAGAAGAGTCATCGATCAGTCGGACCGCCCTCCTCTGGACAGCATCGAGCATCGACAATGTAGTCGGGGCGGCAGCACCCCAAATGTGTGAGCAATACTCGAGGCTAGGCCTTATCTGGGCCTTGTATAGAGTGAGAAGGTCATGCGGAGAAAAGTACTTCTTAGCCCTAAACAAATAGCCTAGCTTTTTCCCAGCAGCTGCAGCTATTGAAGAGATGTGTTCGTGCCAGATCAGGTCCTCGGTGATCTGGACTCCGACCAGCCGAAATGAATGGCTCTTTGGTAGGACTCGACAGTCCATCGAAACTGTATGAGCGCTAGGACGCTTTTTGTTCGTCAAAGTACAGTACTGTGTTTTGGAAGCATTGAACTGTACAAGATTGTTGCGTCCCCAAGCAGTGATAGCTTCCAGGTCTCTTGTCAGAGAAGAAGTCGTCGCTAGTCTTCTTTTTTCCAGCTCAGCGGCAGAGATCGGCTTGTCACTCTGAATTCCTGCATGTAGAGTGCTGTCATCAGCGAAGCTGTGGATTGGGTTGATCATGCAGGAAAGGAGGTCGTTGATATGTAAGAGAAACAGCGTTGGAGCCAAGACCGATCCCTGGGGAACACCCGCGTTGACGTTGTGGGATGAAGAGGAGAATCCGTCAGTTACGACGGATATCTTGCGGCCAGAGATAAAGTCAGCCACCCATCTGCAAAGCTTTTCTGGGAGGCCGTAGGATGGAAGTTTGCTCAAGAGGGCAGCGTGCCACAGCTGATCGAACGCTTTCGTGATGTCAAGAGCAACGACATGAGCCTCACCATGAGACTGGATGAGTTTACTCCACAGTTGCGTGACGTAAGCTAGGAGGTCCCCTGTGGATCGTTGGTGCCGGAAACCGTACTGCCTGTCGCTAATCAAGCTGTGACGTTCGAGGTAGTCCAGAAGCTCGCGATTTATGCACCTCTCCATCACTTTACTTATAACAGAAAGCAGAGCTATAGGCCTGTAGTTGTAAGGGTCGGTTTTAGATCCTTTTTTTGGGATGGGCTGTACATGAGCAAATTTCCAGTTTTCTGGGAAGGTGCCGGATTCATAAGATATCTGGAAGAGACGCGAAAGAACTGGAGCAAGCTCAGCTGCACATCTCTTCAGTACAATGGCAGGAATCAAGTCCAGACCAGAAGCTTTGTTGATGTCGAGCGACAAGAGCACTCGTCTTACGGTCTTATGCCTGAATGTTACCTCCCGCATAGTGTGGGGAACCCTTTGAATTGTGTTGGGAGGCTACTACTCACTCTTTACTCTTTTTGCCGACATCGTTGTACCAATGCTGTACTACTCCACAAGCCTTTAATTGGTGACTATTTATTGAATAAGCCAATGTTGTTCTTGCACCGACCCAGTGCCTGATGTACACAACACGCTACAGAAGATTATGGCTGAAAATTAACTTCCGAGGTGGAGACTTGGACTCGCTAGCCTTCGAGTCGACGTTCTAACCTCTCAGCCAACCAGCCCCCTCTGAGACTACAAAACGTTTGAAGTAGTTACGGAGAAGGTTGAGAAGAACAAGCAACTGTTTTTTTTTTACAAGGGAGTCTGTTTTTCTGAGGGAATTACTGCGATTTACTGTGTAGCATGCCTGTGTCGATGGCAGTATACCAAAGTTTGTACTAGAATTAAAATGACTTTAAGCTCCCCTTTCATAGCACGTTCCAAATTTCAAAGCTCATATGTCACAGGCGGTCATCCATGATCAGTGAAGCATTCTGAGGATCAATTACGCCGCGCCTTTACGGTAACGTGTGTACAAGCCGCGCTAATATTCAGTAACGTAGTCAAGTGTAAATAACACATGTGACTCAAATTGTGACGACATATGACTTTTAGAATGTCAAACGTTGGGAAATAACACATAGTTTCAAACAGGGGCAGCCTGAAAATTTTGTTAAGCGTTATCTTGATTTCAGAACCAACCTTGGTATACTACTGTCGATGGAAACTGTAAGTGAACATACAAATACACCATCGTGTTTTCGTCATCTTGGAGAATACCTGAATCCATAATACGAATCTCAGGACTCTACTGTATATTCTGGCGTATCTAGCACAGTTTTCCGATAAATACGTCATTTTTCTTATCACAGGGTTCACCAAACTGGCACCGCATCGTGCAAACTTTGGTTTGATTGACCAGGTGGCTGCACTGGTGTGGATCCAAGAGAACATAGCCGAGTTTGGGGGAGATCCAAAGCAAGTCACATTGATGGGTCACAGTACAGGGGCGGCTTGTGCTTCTTTGCTCATGTTATCTGACATGGCGACTGGGGATGGCACCAAAGACAGTGAGTAGATGTTGTAGTTTTTATAATTCTTTAAATAATTAATTTATCATAATTCGTTGCTGTCTGTATCATTCGTTTATAGTAATAGTCATATGAATGCCGGTGCTCATTGTGGACCTCCGAGGTGAAATAGCCGGGACTGTCGGAAGATGTCAGTGTAGGATAAAAATGCGTTCTATGACTATATATGCCGGTACGGCTAATACTTATCTTGAAAAGTGACATGTCGATTTTTTGACATTGTATTGGTTTTTTGTAACATTATATATTGTAAATCGGGGTGATATGGTGAATCGGGTGAAATGGTGAATTAATCTATTTCTTTTCCGAGTACACAGATGTCTCTGTAGGTGTGAATGCCAACAGTTTATAATCATGTTCAGCGAGCAACTGTTAAAAACCAGCCACCTTTTAAAAACCGTAAGTAATTTGTACAAAACTGTTTCCGATGCTCAATAATTTTTATACGATGCATGTGTTTGTAAATGTTGCTTCAAGTAGCGTAGTCCGCGAGGTATTTTTTGATATATTCTGCCACCTTAGACTGTTTATATACTACGTAACCTAAAAATCGTTTCCTATAATATTGTGAACTTCTTCCAGTGCTCTTCACCGTTTCACCCATGTCAAATAGGAGAAATGGTGAACTCGAGCATGGGTGATATGGTGACCGACTTTTCTTACTTGTAAGGCTAGGCTTTGTCAATGCATGAATTTTTAACGTTTCTTATCGTAAGCGGGATTTATTCGACGTGAAGTTGTAGCGGCTGTGGCATAGTGGGAGTTGCGGCGGACCGTCACGTTTAAGTTTTTTAGCGGTGCGGGTTCAAATCAGGGCAAGTCCAAACTTTTTTGTTATTTTTTTGGTCGGGTTTGGTTTGGTTTGACAGTGATTAAAACAAAACACACACTATATTCTCGTATTTCTCGGACTAAGTAAAAGTTCTAACTGTCACCATTGTTATAGGCAAAGATGCATACATTTTATAAAAGGCAAAGAGGATCCAGTCGGGCTGACTGGACAGAGGAGCAACTTAAAGATGCCATAAACGCAGTACAAAGTGGAATGATCCTGAATCAAGCCTCAAAGGAGTTTGGTGTTCCATGGTCAACGCTGAAAAGAAGAATAGCAAATGGGTGTTTCACGAAAAAAGCTTTAGGTGGACCGCCTGTCTTAACACAAGAATGTGAGAAGAAGATGGTGAAACATATTATAAAATTACAAAAATTTGGATTTGCACCGACAAGAACAGAAGTACGTATCATGGCATATAAACTGGCTGAGAAATGTAACCAGCACCACAAATTTAACCGAGAAAAGGAAATTGCCGGTATGGATTGGCTGCATTTATTCTTAAAAAGGAATCCAGAACTCTCGGTCCGCAAATCGGAGGGAGTTTCACTGGCACGATCAAGGGGATTAAACAGCAAAGGGATCTAAGAGCGTCGCAGCAATAACATCAGGTGAAAAGGGAGAAACGATCTCCGTTATTGCTTGTTGTAATGGAGAGGCATGTTTCTACCACCAACATGTGTTTTAAAGGGGAAGAATGAAAAATCTGAATATAGAGACGGTATGCTGCCTAGTTCCATTATTTTCATGTCACAAAAGTCGGCGTACGTGACAACTGATATTTTCCTTCTGTGGCTAAGGAACCATTTTGCACCGAGGAAGCCTGAGGGAAAGGTCGTGCTTATTTTGGATGGGCACAGCTCTCATTGTAGCAGTGTGGACACATTAGAGTTTGCAGAGGAAAATAACATAATTCTGCTCTGTCTACCCAGCCACACGACGCATTATCTGCAGCCACTCGACAGAGCATTTTTTAAAGCTCTAAAATCCTATTATTACAATGCTTGCAACTCCTACATTAAAATGAACCCAAATAGAAAAATTTCAAGACTAGTGTTCGGAGGACGGCTTAGTAAGGCATGGGTACAAGCGGCTACGACAGATAACGCAATATCAGGGTTCAGGAGCACAGGAATCATCCCATTTAATACTGATGCCATTCCCGAATATGCCTTTTTAACATCAGCTTCAGATCAACAGGAAAACAATGAACGACGTGAAAAAATATCTACTTCACCTCAGCCAGGTTGTTCGCATTGGCAGGAAATCCCAAATCCCTCGGCAGAAGCAACTGCAGAAGTAGATAACAATCAGGGAATTGAACACATGCAAGCTTCACCACAACTGGGCTGTTCGCAACGGGGAGAAAATCTACAGAAAAACATTCATTTCTCATCGGAGGCAACAGACCTGACTTCAATAGTGACAATAGAAGAATCTCAAATAACCCCTGGGAAACTTTTGGATAATATCTCGCCGATACCTATGGTAAATAAAGTTGCATCTGCAAGAAAAAATTCTAGAGCTTTAGCTGAGATTTTGAATTCTCCAGCAAATATTGTTAACCTACGAAACAGAAAATGCCAAAACAAAACATCAATTGAGTCAGTGAAGAGTGGAGAAAATGCTAAAAAGAAGGCCAAAGGAAAAACCATAACCAAAGAAACTACCAAAAACAAGCAACGTAAGAAACGTAAAGCGTCTACCACTGATACCGAATCTGACTCATCGCTGGATATGGACCTGAAAGATGATGATGATGACGATGTGGACGATGAAGACTGCTGTTGTGTAGGATGCGGCGAACTGTATAGATGCACTAAAAAGGACGTTGATTGGGTCAAATTTATTAGCTGCCAACTTTGGCTTCACGAAGACTGTTCAAGATATGAATCCATGATCCATCCATCATACCAGATAGTCAATCCGGTTTTAGAAAAAACTTTAGCACAAGTACATCATTAGTTAATATCTTGGATGATATCAGACATCATCAAGAACAAAAAAATAGTACGTGCATGGTTCTTCTCGACTTTAGTAAAGCGTTCGACACTCTGAATCATGAAATGTTACTAGCTAAGTTACATTACCAGGGGTTTTCGCAGAACTCCGTAAATCTAATAAAAACATACTTAAGTAACCGTTCAAACTGTGTTATGTTAGCAAATGATTCTGCTATTTACAAAACCGATTTTAAACCTATAAAAAGAGGAGTTCCTCAAGGTTCAATTTTATCTCCTTTGCTATTTTCAATCTACATATCTGACATGGTCAAATCGGTAAAATTCGCAAAGATAAAACAATATGCAGATGACTCACAAATATATCTCCCTGTCAATAAAACCACAATCCATATTGCACAACAACAACTAAATTCAGATCTCCAAAGAATTGACACATTTGCAAAGCATCACAATCTTAAACTAAGCCCCTCAAAATCGCAAGTAATGGTTATGAATAAAAACAGTATTGAAAGAGAACATTTTGAACAAAATTTAGTAATTTCTATTAACAATGACAGAATCCCCATAGTTCAGGAGACAAAAAATCTGGGCATTATATTTGATAGCTCGCTTGGCTTCGGCAGTCATATAAAAAACAGAACAAATTTAGCTTACATGCGACTAAAAAATATAAACAAATTAAAAAAACATTTATCAGCCAAACAAAAATATTATTTGTGTAATACCTTAATTTTATCACTTTTTGACTATGGAGATGTCGTCTATGGTGATTCGCTATCGTCGCGAACCAAAAAATGCATACAAAAAGTTCAAAATAGTTGCATGAGATTTGCATTTGGAATTCCATATCGAAACCATATCACTCCTTATCTGAATAACTACAACATATTAAACATGACGAATCGCAGAAAATATCACATGTATTCTTTTATCTATAGGGTTATAAAAACAGGTCAACCGCCCTATTTAAGAGAAAGATTTGTGCCTTTGCCTAGTGCCCAGAGAAGTAGAAATAATCTCAATTTTATCGTACCTAGACATAGAACGCGTTCCTTCCGACAATCGTTTGCCTATGTGGCGGTTTACTTATGGAATAATTTACCAACTTCAGTTAAAAGCTCATCGTCAAAAACATTCTCAAAACTGACAAAAACGTTGTTACAGAATCACCAGCTACTTTAGCAGCGTTTGTGTGAGCAAAAATAACGTTTTTACATTCCTACTCGCTGACAAGTTGTATAGATTTGTTTTTCGCGTCCGTTGCCAGCTCCCGGGGGTTCTCTATTCGTTTTTACCTTTGTTGTGTTTCACCGCCTCTTCATTTGCCTCTTTATTGTATTTGTTATTTTTTTAAGAACTTTTAGGGTATTCAGGGCTTTCTCGCATGGACTCTTTGTATTAAAGGGTCCAATGTATCGGTTTTATAATCGAGGGACTGTCCTTTTTCGTCATTACTCTATATGTAGAATTTCTTTTGTTTATGATGTTTATTCATGACGAAATAAATATTTTGAATTTGAATTTGAATTTGAATTTGAATATCTGTGGTAAAAAGTAGGAGAAGTAAATTCAGCATTTCACCCAAAGTGCAATCGCCATTTCACCCGTATGCATGGGTGAAATGGTGAACTTGATAAAAATAAATAATTTGTTTTTTCAAACTTTTGTAAATGCCTTAAAAAGGATATCATCCTGTGAAGTTGTTGCCTATATATTTTGTAAAATAATAGCGTTTTTATTTTGTTTAAATAAACGATTTCTTCTTTTGTACATATCTCATTTTTTTTTGTTCGCCATATCACCCTGATTTACCCTACGGTTTTCTAGAAGATGCTAACTAAACACTATCTAAGAGACACGTTGTGAATTGGCTCTGTAGTAGTACGCATTGCCTAAACGTTATGATGCTTCAATTATCAATGTTTGTATCCTATAGCTAGAAGGAAAAGGCAATGCGTAGGTGCATAGTAATGATTTGTATGCTAATAATACGTGTTGATGATAATTTCATTGGATTCTTGTCTCAAATACACTTACTTGAGATTCAAAGCTAGAAATTAGTTGCGCATCCACTGTTTTTTTATCCATTCTGGAAATTACATAAATATGCAAATTTGATGCATTCTTTCGTACATGAACGTAATAGTAGACGTGTGTATCCTTAGCATCAAAAGTGCCACTTCATGCAATTTGGGTTGGAAATCTCTAGGTGGTGCTCGCCACCCTTAAGTTTCATAAAGCAACCTTATGCATTTTCGACCACATGCATAAACTTGAACGAAACAGTATACTGGAAAGATTTTGGACGTACCTTAATGATCATCGAACTATGTAAAGAAGCCCTATTTGAAGTAGGAACATGTAACGTTTAGGACCTACTGCCAAACAATCAACTTTCTTCATTTTCGTGACATATGCCCCCGATTTATTCAAAATACCCTTTTGATAAGTATAGTGTGTTTTAGACTGGAGAAAATTCTCCCGCTTCGGAGGAGTGAGAGGCATTTGAGCCCACTCCTTACGATTTTATAGGAAGCCAGTAAACTGTCAGATCTTGATGTCTGGCAATTTTGATGGAAGCTAAGTTAAAGCACGAAACAGCTGTCAATGGAAGGACGAATGAAAGCAGTAAATTTAGTTGTTTAACACGTTCACTGCCGATGACTCAACTGTTGAGTCACAGCAGCTGCCCGGCAGTAGTGCGTCGGTTACTGAAAGGGTAGCAGCATATTACGCCGGCCTTTTATTGACTTATAAACACGTGTTTTTGCGCGATTGGTTTGAGGTTACGTTTTTGCCTCCAGTGTACAATGGACAGCGAAATTCCAGGGCCATCTAGACCGAAGAGAAAGTTGGAGGATCCTAAAAGAGGGAAATTTTTTAGTGATTCGGAGTTAAAAGCATTAGCATACTTATCAGAAAGTGACGAGGAACCTTTTGTAGACAGTGGCAGCTAGTATGAGCCTGATTATACGAGTTCAAGCGAAGAAGAGGAGATTTGGGAGCATGCTATGATCCCTGAAACCTCCGAAGAAGGTGATCGCTCTGAGGTTCCAATGTGGGCCGATAACCCAGACATAAAGGACTTTCCATTTTCCGGCAACCCTGGACTAAAAGAAAACTTAGCATCTGACGACCCTATTGACTTTTTCAATATATTTCTTACGAACACATTTCTCGAAAATATCATTGTTGAAACGAACAGATACGCCGAGCAATTGTTTTTGAGCAAAAACACGAGGGAGAAGTCAAGAATAACCGACTGGAAGCCTTTAACAGTTTCAACATTGAAAGTTTTCATAGGGTTATGGCTTCATATGGGCAATATACAAATAAACCGGATGCGGGACTATTGGAAAACTCACATGTTGTATAATCTCGAATGTTTTAGGAACCATATGAGCCGAAATCGTTTTTTGACGATTCTAAGGTATCTACATTTTTCCAAAAATCCTGAAAGAGGAGAACCAGGATATGATGACCGTTTATCGAAGATTAGATGGCTACAAGACTTTTTCAACTAAAGAATGTATGACATTTACTATCCCAATAAACAATTGTCTCTAGATGAGTCGATGGTCTTGTGTGGAGGGGTAGATTGCTTTTCCGGCAATATATTAAAAATAAAAAGCACACATTTGGTGTGAAACTATATATTTTATCGGAACCTAATGGTCTCGTGTTGAAAGTGAGGATATATACTGGGGGCGAAAAGGACATGCAGGGGGAATTGGGACATTCTGCAAATGTTGTGTTTTGTCTCGTAAAAAAATATCTTGAAAGAGGACACTCATTGTATATGGACAACTATTACAATAGTATTGCTTTGGCCAAGGAACTACTTTTGAAGGGAACCTACGTGACTGGAACACTAAGAGCGAACAGGAAGGGCAATCCATCTGAAATTACTTCTAAGAGATTAGCTAGAGGTGAAACTGTTAGCAAATACTCCGGTGGAGTTACAGTTGGGAAATGGCGTGACAAGAGAGACGTGTTATTCATTTCTACAGAATTCGATGGTGAAATGGTTCAAGAGGAGAAAGTAAGCAAAAACCCAAAGCGATCATTATGTACAATAAGTACATGTCAGGAATAGATCGCCAAGACCAGATGCTTTCGTATTATGCAAGTGAACGAAAAACCATTAGGTGGTACAAAAAGATGGGTATTCATATAATATCAATGATGCTTCTCAATAGTTATCACCTATATAACCAATATTCAACCAAGAAAAAACTAAACTACTATGACTTTCGACACAACATTATAGAAAAATTATTGTCAGAAAAAGAAGATAAACCTGAGGCTGATCCATGTCCCAAGAAAACAGCTTGTCATTTGCCTGAAAAATACCAGTTAGATGCTGCAGGACGACAAATGAGAAAAAGGTGTAGAGTGTGTTATGAAAATAAATCGCGCAAAAATACTCCGTTTTTTTGTCCAGCTTGCCCAGATAAGCCAGGGTTATGTCTTGGAAACTGTTTCCAATTATATCATACATCAAAGTAAGTGCCCACTTACTCTTTTTGCGTTTTATGTAGTTCTAATGTTAGGATACCATATCCTCGTGAATACTATATATGTTAGTTTCTGCAATAAAGGAAAAACCAAAGTTTAGTTTCCTTGTTTGTATTTTTATTTTACGTTTTTTTAGTTTATACTTAGGTATCGGTTTTACTGATGTTTGACTTGTACCGTTTTAAAAAAAAAACTGTGACGTGTTTTTTTTTGAAAAATATCACCTATTCTTCTATTTTCTTAATTTTAACTTTAGCATTTATGTTCTTTGTTTTATTGATGTTGTATTTGTACCCTTTTAGAAATACATTGTTCTAAATATTTACCTAGCTTCCTTTTGTGTTTGGAAAATTCGACTGAATTCATTGTATGGCTCAAATGTTGAGTCATGCGGCCTCTACTTGTAGAAATGCATCTGAGAGGCCGATGACTCAGCCCTTGAGTCACTGTAGTTTTGACACTCAATACACAGAACAAACAAATATAATATATAAGAGATCGCTAAAAACACTTTTGGCTTTATGATTTTTCGAAAAAATATATTGGCCTCTCAAAGAGTGTTTTGAAGTTTGTATGGCAGCGAACGTGTTAATGACGAACCACATCTACAATACCGCCAGAATCGTCTCACTCTAGCGGTCACAGCGGTATCTGTGATATCAAGCGCAAACTGAGACATTTATTGCTCCAACTGATAGCTGCTACTCACTCTCACCGTGGTCCATTCTGATGAGAGATGGCGTTTTGTGCTATCTTATTTCGATACCTTGCTTCCTTGCACCAAACTATAACTTGAAACACTTTTAGGGCTTTTCCATCGTGCGATTCTGATGTCAGGCACATCCTTAGCCGATTGGGCGATGGCTTCGAACCCGGACGAGACGACCCAGAAAGTGCTGCGTGAACTAGGCTGCAACTCATCCCATTATGATCAGGAAGCATGTCTACGCGGAATCAGCTTGAACGAAGTCATGCGAGTAGCCAGTTCGCTTGCCGGCTCCTTCGGACCTGTTGTCGACACTGTTGTGGTCACAAGCGATCCGAAGGAGGCGATGAAGAAGAAAGGAGATATTTTCAAAAAGTAAGATACGATTTTGTTTATCAGCGCTTACTTTCACCGTATTCAAGTATACACTAATCAATTGGCTTGATCATCGGTTTTTTTTTGTTCTTCGCATAGTCCGAACCTTTTTGTGAATATTTTATCAAATACCTACCGGTACTTTCCAAGTTATGGACAGACCGTGGGACCGACGGATCGATGGACATATAGACACACAGAAATGAGTGGCATGGTTTTCTACATGTGATATTACATCAAAAAAATCGAATTACCTCAGTTTCGAAATGTTTCGCGATTACAACACTTATCCGCTAGTGGCGTGGAAAATAAAAAGTTTGGAGCGTTGAGCGTTCCTGTTGCTAAGGATGACCAAACTCGCACATAGATAATTTATGAAGTTGAATGGCTATATGACCATCAATAATTTTTTGGAATGCTTTTAAATTCGTTCTTTGTAGGCATTTAAACATTATGAAATTTTATTTCGCACGCCTACTGGCGTCACGTCTGACCAGATGCACTTCCGGTAGGGCAGGGAAAGAATATCTGTAGACTAATTGTATGTATTGTTTGTCTGACTTGTTTTAGACGGCCTACCTTTATGAGGTAACAACGGCTTTTTGTGGCAACTACAGAGTCAACCGACTTGACGCCATATTTTTTATTTAATCTCTATGTGTCCATCCCTAAATCAAATCGTAGTCTTTTTGAAAGCTTTTAATATTATTCGATCTCCGTTTCAGGTTTGAGCTGATCTATGGTGTCACTGAAATGGACAGTATACATGCTCTTGGTCCAGTATCCCTCATCCATGGTATGCTGAAAAAGGATAGAAACCAAGAATTGAGAAAGTACATCCAGACTAGATGCGAAGTTCTGCCAGAGTCGTGCTTACGTACTACCCTCCAAGAATACGGGTTCTATGAGAAAGACAAAGACTTGGAAGATTTTTCTGGTAAGATTATTTAGTGAAAAGGGTGTTCCATTAGGTATGGGGTGTCTCGCTCTAAATTGACCCCCTTCAACTTTTTTGTATTTTTGTATAAATTCAAAGTGGTGGAGGGTGCGAAATTAATCTTTTACATTTGCCGGTTTTGCATTTTTTCGTGAAAATTTACTAGGTATCATGATTATAAGAATCTTTGGTAGATTGTTCGATCCGGAATGGGAAAGTTCTCCTATTTATGCAAATATTTTTGGTATCATCTAACCAGTGCAATCAGTGCACAAACACTGTGACATATGATGTATACTTATAGCATAACCCGCTGCCCTATCAATACAAATTTAACATACAGGTCGCCTAGCCGTGGGGATGCAGTGGTCGGGATGAATATCACGGCAGCAACTGATGATTTGGGCATGTCTGGTAAGAACGTATGAAGTGAAACTCGCTAACTTTGAAAATGATGAAGGATATGTCTGATTTGGCAAGGTAATGTCGCAGCCAAATGGCAGTCACTCTTTCTGATACAGTCCGGATCGAAAGATGACGATACTCGTGAAATGTATTGATACTTCTAAATATAGGATCCTATCGAACATCCCTACTGTCGAGATGTATAACCCAAGGTACCGAGCTATTTTGCGGCGTCATGTAAATAATTTTAAATTTTCATTTGCAAAAAGATGAAAAAAATTCAAGTGTTGTGCAATGATTTTGGGAAAAATGTCACGAATAGTCTTATAAAGCATAGTAGAGTATATTTCAACAGTTGGCGGAGCTTACTCCACTGGGACCAGGATGGTGAAACGGGATATTAATGCACAATCTGGCAACCCGGTCGCACCCTCACAAAATGGCCTCTTACAACCACACAAGTCACCGTGTTGTGATTGAATAGCATGGAATTAAACCTTCAGAGTATATATGTTTTGTGACTGGTACCAGGAGTTGACAGATCCCACACATGTGTCACTCCTTGAAATGCAATAATCAGCTGTATTCAAATAATGTCTAATATAAATATAACCTAGAATGTGGACTCGTGAAAAAAGAAAAATATGGCAAATTTGTAGTTTTTTTGCAGGTTTTATAGGTTTGCTGGTAGCTTTAAGGCATATATTTGGGAATTACTTAATCGCTGTGAATATAGTGTGGATGTTTGTTCAGTTTCTGAACAACGAAAAATATTCAACTACAGTATAATCAGATAAGAGATAGACCGGGTATAAACAAGACCACGTGATCATCGAACGCTGTAACATTCGGCAGCGACGTATTGGGAGTCACGCAGTACATATTTTAGATAGTAGATGCTGCTTTGCGTAACTTTGTAGTAAATTAGCACAATTCGATGTGTATACGATGGATATAGGATATAGGATCATGTGGGGGTGGGGTAAGAAATATATAATGATGTAAATATACATAAGGGTTTCAAAATTTTCGCTTCGATTTCCAGCTTCGGATGCCGCCTGATGTTTGGTGAAATACAGTCGAATATAATCTCAAAATGGCGTTAAAATTAGCCTAAATTAAAAATAATCGTATATCTCTTAAAATTGCTTTTAGAATATTGATTAGTATATTTTTTGATTTCTAGGTAAATATGTAACCAAATTAAAACGTTCAAAACGTAAAAAAATGTGCATGGTTGAACATTGTCTGAAAGTTGATTCTTGAATAGGTTTTACCAAAATGGGTTCAAAAATGTCAATAATTAATTAAAAAATACAGTAGCTTTATAATTACTTATAACTTACCGAATTTGATGAACGACATCTTTTATTGGAAAGATGAGCTTGATGAGCTTTCATCATCGCTACTGCCTGAAGCACCAACGTCAATGATGAATGGCTCGACTTGTTCCTCTAAAATATTGCCCAGTTCCCACATTCTCTTTTCAACTTTGTCTTTCACGTGCTTAATACAGTTTTCCCATTTTTGCGCTGTTATTAATTCTAGTGCTTCTTTGAAAAGTCCTTTGAGGTCACAAAATTTAAAAGTTGTATTGTGCTTAGCTATATAATTTTTAACCTCTGCCCATATGAGCTCAATGGGATTGAGCTCGCAATGGTATGGAGGTAAACGGAGCACAGTTTTATTTTGACTTGCTGCCATTTCGTCAATGGCGTATTTTTGATATTCCGCCTTGTGATCCTTGACAATTCTTAATAATTGTACTTTCAGCATTGCTTCTTCAAAGTTGATATTTTTCGTGCGGAGCCAATTTTGAGCATCAACTTTCCTTGAAGCCGTTGTTGGGACCTTCTCCATTCTTCGAGAATGATAAGGCGCATTATCCAACACAATTACTGCGTTTTCCTCTAAGTTCGATAAAATTTTTGAAAACCACTGTTCAAACGATTCGCCATTCATTACCTAGTGGTAATCTCCAGTTTTCTTAGACTCAAAGCACCACAGACCGTCAACAACAAATCCATCCTCACTGCCAATATGGCAGATAATGAGCCTTTTCCCTTTACCTGGAAATCGAAGTACTAACTGGTGTAGATTTATTTCAATAAGCGAACCTTTTTCAAATGTTTTCATCACATTCAGCGAAAAAACATTGAGACATGAGTATCAGATTGCTATAATTGGGATTATTTAGTCATATTGAAAGAAAGAATATTGAACGTCGTATGATTACTCAGCGCTTCACAATTTAATTTAAAGTTATAAACCTTTAAAAAATGAATGATCAGGAACCTGAACTACGCGCAAATATTAATATTAACAAATTATAACTTTATAAAGCTTAAAGTATGAATTAAAATGATTAGAAATATTAGGAACGGTACACAATATAAAACTTAGTAACTTTTTTCAAGTTTATAATATTCGACATATTTTAAGATTATATTAAAAAATTATTGAAATGTCGAAAACACATAAAAACATGGCTTAAAAAAGTTCTAACAAATGAAAATGACAATAAAACATCCACGCATTTTATCGAAAGTTATAAAAGTTTTGTTACTTGTAATATGTTTTATCTGCCCGCTGGAATTAATGTTTAGAACCTTGTTCCCAAGGTTTGAAAAACATCCGATTGTTGTCTATTACTCGTATTTACCTGCTGGATTTTTTAATCCGGTGGACAGTCCATCTAGAAAGGCCCTCCTGGATGAAGTTACAGAATCATCAACCCATACTTTACTTGTAGTGTGTCCTGCGTTTACCCACGTTTCATCAAGGTAATAAATCTTCCTGTTTTGATTTCTATATTTCCCAATTTTTGTTAAATAGTCCCTCCTCCATAGCACAATTTCTTCTCTATCCAGTAGTAAACTATTACGACCCCGTTTTTTCCATTTGAAATTTAAATGCTTCAGTAACGCATGGAAAGTTGATCGTTTGAAATTTGGCAACGTTGTATCTCCATTTACCCCCTGCAGTACTTTATCTATAGTAGGTATTTCATTCCTAAAGAAGAATTCATGCACTTTCCTCCTAATCGCATGCTTATCAGCTTCATCCAATGATTTAACAATACTTTTGCGATGTTTACTGGTCATTGGCCCAGAAAAGGTGTGATTTTTTTTGTATTGTCTTAACACATTAAACACTGATGCGCGACACACCCCAACTTTGTGAGAAACCTTCACAACAATTTCTTTGATGGTTGATGCCTCGTTCTCCTCGCGCTCGATCTTATATATATTCAAAATGACCTCTTTCATTTCTGCACTCATGTGTCTTTTTTTAGAGCGTTTCCTAGGTGGACTACAGGAGTTTACAACTTCATCGGCAGTATCTGTACTACTGGGCATTTTGCGCAAGCAGTTGATAACAATAACAATCAATAACAAGGTATAACAATAACAACGACAAACTCAACAACTTAATAAGATAACAAACGAAAACGTCCAAAGAAATATCAAATTGCAATGATGCACACGACATACGTAACACGTCTGAACCTGAATGTGACTCTGCCTTGATACGACTGCTCTGCCGCTCGGCATAGGCATTTAATTGCGAATTGACCAATGAGGGCTCCTGTTTTACGTCGAGACGGCGGCGTTAGCATGAAAATCACCCGAACCTTTTGTTTACATCCGGTCTATCTCTTATCTGAATATACTGTATATGGATGTATGGATATCAAAAAACCTGAATGGTTTTGTGGGAATATCAATCTAATGTGCCATAATGGTTCTGATGAACGGCAAGTAAATTAATGAATGTTTGGAAACGAGCCATATCTTTTGGTAGACCCTGTCATCAAGTAGGTGCTTAATGGCTATCTGCAAGAGGTTTATAGGAAAAAAGCACCCAGTATCACATATCAATTGAACAAAATAATATAAACATGAATACAAAATCAACAATAGTAATTAAAGCATGAATTTAATTCAAAAATCAAACATTTCTGAAAATTTTGACTGAATTATATGTAATTTCTTAATATTCAATAAGCTGGTAATGTGTCAATGACAAGTTGTCAGCTCATACTTTGACAGTATTTTGTTGTCAACATTTCATAGCTATTGGTTGCTAAAATTTGTTGATTGGAACTTGAAGCTCATTCGCTGTATCTGACGGTCTGTTACCCTATAGGTCGAGAATAATGAACTGTTGTTGGTGAAGTTGGGCCTAAGTGGGTTATAATCCATGTTACATTGTAAACTGTAAGAACAATGGAGAAACAGTAGGTGGAAATTTTATTCCTACATAAATGCATACTCAGATGCTGTAAATAGAGATACGCAAGAAACGTAACCTATAATGATATTAGTGAATATATACTATTTCTACTATAGTGTGTGAAAAAATTACGACAAAATAAACATTGAACTAGTCCTAGTCAATATAGTCTGACTTGACGCTAGCTGAAAAATAAAATTTCGTCAAGTAGATGTGTACATAGATTCAACCTTGTATTGTACGGAGATTGAACCATAGACGTTTGAATTCAACATCTCCTACATACTGTGCTAGCCCCAACTTCTTTACGCTTTTGCATAGTTTGAGACTTGAAGCTTAAATCGTGTTTGATAGACAGACATCCCTTGTATTATCACATTTGTTTTTTGTCTTAGTATGCAAATTTCCTCGTTTAGTATGCATCACTAGCTTTTGGGGTACTGTCTTTTGACTTCACTTAATTCCATTGAATAATACAAAACTTGTTGCCAGGAATTGACAGGTCTCTAGTCCCAAATAATTATCGTCACTAGGCGGAGCTGACGTCACTCATACAGAAAAGAAGGATTGTTTTATTCTATACTCGTATCCTTACGGAGTTCTTACGAACTAGCTTATACAACTTTGTCTGTTGCTCGAAACAGGCGTCTAAGGCACCATGTACTAGTAGGTAGTCCCCCCTTTGTACAAGTAGGTTGACTAAATTAATTTCAGGTATTCTTTCCAGCCTCATACCACGAACCACTGAGAGTACGAGATGGTCTCTTGGACATATTGTCAGATGCATGGTACGTAGCCCCGATAGTCCAGACTGGGAAGTACCACGCAATGTTCAACATCCAGTCGTACTTCTACGTGTACAAGTACAAGACGATAGCTAAGGATTACATTGTAAGTATCCAGGTGCTAGAAAAATGAAACATATTGGGAGCCTTCAGAAACCATAACTCCGTCCGTCGGTGTAGCGCTTTTATGCTGAATAGCAGTAGCCATGGGATACCTTTTTCAGTTTGACAGCAGTTTTTACTTGGCTGTCAGATTTGATAGTATGTCACTGTGTAGCTCTTCCATGACTGCTGCTTTTTATCATAGAAGCGCTGCATCGCTGGACAGCTTTACGTTGGATGACTCAAGCATGAAGTTACCTAGATATCAGTTTTACCTTTTCACACTCTGCAGGAACAATACATTCGAGGGCTGAACTATAGTCTATTTATACCCAAGATAGAATGGATGCGTGATTGCCAAAAGCAAGGACGGCGTACAGGGCCGCATTCAGGGCTACCTCCAAATGATGGACTACCACCAACGTGTTGTAAAACAAAGATGACAGTATTTAACAGAAACAGAAACTTAACAAATTACTCAAATACACTTAACAACAACAACAGTAACAACCAAGCAAGGTGAATACGAAAACACGAGCATGCAGTGATACACGCGACGGACGGTGACCTGAATGCAACTCTGCCTGCCCTGTCCCTGCCCCGCGCATTATTCCGCCAGGCGACCGCTTGAAATTTAATGGCGTATTGACCAATAAGAGGCGTTGTCCCCACCTGTTATCGAGAGATCACGCGCTAACTGTTTTTATTTACATCTCATCTTGAATTTGGATTCAGTTTATACTTTATCGCATACCGCAAATATTACATTTACTATTTTACAATGAAAGACTGGGATGTAACTTGGACGAATATATCATTTTTTCTTTAAGGAACCCTCTGCTTGCTATTTTATAGAACTCCAAAGTTGCATTTTGTGTGGTAATACTGTGGTATATAAGCTGTTTTTTTCTTGTTTACACAAAATATTGCTCAAAATTATACGAATATAACATACAATGTAAACTACTGTGACACTATTCATCGCGATAATGCAATATTGCATTATTTTAATGATGAAAATATTTCATTCTTAAGTAGTAGTTTCTTTTATTTTAGATAAATGTTCCCATCACTACTCCACCATCCACCACCACATGTTGGGTGAACCTAGCGAGGTGGTTCAAATCGACGAATCGAAGTTGGTTTTAATTTTATTTTCTGTCACGCGAGCCGCTGGTGAATTTTCCACTGTTTCGACACATGCTGTTCAAAATTTCATCTCGTTTTCGGTAAATATTGGGTCAACTTCTCATAAAACACGCCATTCACAATAAGCTGATACTTTTATTTTGCAAATAACCTCATTTTTTATTACGTATTTCTCCCAAAAAAACGTACAACTTGGCAACAATGGACATCATTTATCTTATCTGTCAAGAAATTAATGTTATAAAATGGTCATTCAGAATTGTTTGTACTTTCAAATATTTTTTATAAACGCAAAGACTTTGATCTCATTGAAAATACGCGAAAAAAAATGGTTAAGGAATTTCAAGAAGACTTTGAAAAATCACAACACAACACCTATACACAGCTTACCAAGTAAGCAACATCATTAAGGTATGTATTTTGAACTGTTATTTTAGCTATTAAGCTAACGTGTAATAACACGGCTGATTTTGCAAAAAACAACGTTTTTTCAGTTTCACATCTATTTTCCTTAGTGTATTTTATATTCTTGTAATTTAGAGCATGATTTTGTGCAAAAAACAAAAAAAGCGTACAAAACAGTATTCCATTCTAGAGTATTACCACCAAAAATGCAACTTCGAAATTCCATAAAATAGCAAGAAGAGGGTTCCTTATAGAAAAAATGATATTTTCGGGCAAGTTACATCCTAATCTCTCATTTTAAAGTAAGAAATGAAGTATTTGCGATTATGCGATAAAGTATAGTCTTACCCATTCGAGAAGTTTCCATCCAAACAACAGATGTGCAAGTATTTTTGATTTTTCATAATACGTTTTATAAAAACTGGAATTTTAGCTGATATCTTGAAAACGATATTCTAAATGAGTAGATTGCATATTCGGTTTCAGTGGTCCATAGGGATGGTTGCGCTTAAGTTCCTGACAGATCAGTTTGCCATAAGTACTCGGCGCAATAGCCAGTGAAAACAAAAATGCCTTATGCACAACTCATATGACATATGGGAAGGGCGAATCGAAACCTCTCGAAGTCTGTGTAAATATATTTGATCATACTTTTGATGTACGACCTGTTAATATAGGTACTGAACTCATAGTTTTTGAAGTGAACGAGACTTGGTACGAGTAGATTATTCGGTTCTATGAATTCGAATTTTTAGATGGTATGGGAACAATTTTGTGGTGAATAATATTAGAGACCTCCGACCATCTGTCTAACACTGTTTCAAAATGAGATTTTTTTGTTATATACGACTGAAGCATCAGGTCTCAACCACAACATGGAGACACGTCCACACACCAGTTGATACCCGAAAGAGGTTACAGGCATAGCTTTATCCGCGAATTTATCGTCGATTTTGCAGTCAACTATCGCAGCAAGCACCAAAATCTCCACTGTCAGCGTCAAGCCGACAACAGTTCGGCCTGTATCGTCCTACTCAACCTGTGATCACCAAGCGATGCAGATGATTTATTTTGCACTAGCTGTTACGCCCCACTGTGTACGCTTGAAGTTGTTACTAACATAAAACGTTGGTTTTAAGTAATTCTGTAAACTTGTGATCACGTATTGCATCTTTGATGGACTTAGTGAATTGACAGCCAACTTGAATGCTGGGAAAATTTGACAAGCGATCTATAGGTTCCGCAGGTAAAACCTCGAGGCATAAGTGTGTTTTATAATAATTAGAATGCATGACTTTTGATACCAAATACATGATCATACTACCGTATGAATTTTGGGTCCCGCTTTTTATTTGCTACTTTTGGCAGAATTAAAACTGTGCAAAATGCAGTAAAAACCTGTCTATAAAATAAAATTTCAAGCTCCCTCCTATCCAAAAGCCCTTGATAAATGTGGTGTCTTAATAACACAAAAGGGCGAATACAAAGAAAGTTTTAATTTCATCTTTTGGTAGGATAGTTGGCTTCTCTTGACCCACTACGGTATTTTTTGATATGCAAACTAGTATAACCATTACCAAGCAAATTACAGGTAAAGTTAATAACTGCATTATCAGCATATCTGTATACGGTAAAATTGCACTCCACGCATACCAAAATATTCTGGATACCCGGTTCCAATTCGTACACCGGGATATCCTTTTCGTGTAGCTTTAATGATGTTAGCAAAACCCAATTACATGAACAAATCAAAACCCTTTCGCTTGGGAGCTCAAGTTTCTCATATCGCGGCATATTCCGCCTATCATGATTTACTCTGGCAACCAGCACCAGTAGCGGTTCATCAGGTCAAGGGGTCTCTGACGAAAGTGCAAGTCTATTAATCTAACGTCTGATACTTGTCACGTTGCTTTCATGAGACGGTCTGCCGGGTTTTCTGGCCGCTAAACAAAATCACATATGTAGGTCTTTACTGACGAAGTGCAGATCAAAAAAGCGACTTTGATAATATATCCTATAACTTCCGAGTGGCCGTTCATTTCTTTTTGCCGCTACCATACACTGTGTTGCAATAACATCCTAAAAGGTTCCACATCATGCCTGGATCATGCACGGCCATCATGGTAATTTGAAAATAGAATATATTAGAATAATATTCATTGACCGATTATAACAAGCATATAAAAAGTTAAGAAAACAGGTCCAGATTGCTACAAAAGGTTCTGATACTGCTAAAGCAGTTTTCAGGCAGGCACTGAAGAAGATTAGTATAAGTAATTGCATACCGACAAAAGATATACGTCAGAATGCGGAAATATACTGAACCTCATCTTAAGCAACACAACTAGATACACAATTTACACAAAACACAAGGCAATGAACAATAAATTGCACAAACTTAAATTTTAAAATGTATGAACACGAGCACTGCTAAAGTCTACCAGAGGCCAGCGAGCATGAGGCTATCCTTTCTTTTGGAGGTCCCAGACATGTCATCCTCGCTCATCGCTCCAAAAATGCCGAGCGACCGCCAGAATGCGGAAGCCCATCCAGAACTGTTGTCACATTACACCTGTTGGATCTTACATAAAGTTCGACTATTATTGCAATATTTGTCTACGGATGGGAAAAGCGACAATTAGTATATTCCCACCTGAAGGGCACCATGTTGCTTGCCTTGTGGAAGAACAGCATCAAACTTAGCAGTTTGCCTTTTGGGTGGCGAATCAAAACGTCTACCTCGAAAGAAAACACTTATGATCTTTTTTTGCGGTACTAAGGTACTATTTGTCGCATTTCGGGTTCCAAGAACAATGTAGATGCAGCATTAGCAATCGAAGCTGTCAACAGGTGTGTTGCAACATCAACACCAGTTGGGTTTTCACGTTCAAGATACCATCTGGTAGATACAAGACAATATATAACGTCATGCTTGCTTGGCACTTTGGAGAGGCTGAATGTCGCTGGGAGCGGGAATGCCTAACCAAGACAGTCCTGGATTTTTCCAATTTTTAATGGCTTCACGCGATCTCGGCATGGTGCAGGACCTTCCAGGCTCTTGTTGCAACGCAGAACCTGGAGGACAGTTAGATGTAAAGTATATTGTCACAATACGAGTATATGCATATCTAGGAATAAGTTCACAAATTTTGCCAGGGGTGGATACCGAGTTATGGACATTTCACTCACTATTTTGGTCAATCTCTGAACGTCATAACTCATGTATTTTCAACTGCATTATGATATTTGTCTGATAGTTCGAGCGATGACTATTCTTTTGGAGCAGAATGAATCTGAACAACGTTTAAAATATTTTTTTTAGTAGCTCACGACTAGAATATTCCTCTCAGATAATTTTTCGCTCTGTTTGCGAGTAGGAGCTAGGCATATTCTGAATTATACAAAGCAGCCACTTTTAAGTTATAAAAATGTAAACTTAGAGACATGGTT